TCTCTGAGATCACTTAGACTTCTCTCTTGCAATGACAGGTTGTATTGGCACTGGTTTTTGACATTCATATCGTATTGACATTAACAATTGTGTTTAGAAACTATCAAATTCAATTATCGAGGAAATATACACATCAAACTATTCACCGCTATGAACTATCTGAAAACGTCGACGGCATCTCCGGGAATCGAACGCAGATCCTCCGCGTCGTAGTCCACGCCTGTACCAGCTTGGCCACGCGAACACCTTNATCGTAATAAATCTTCTCTAAAATTAAAGCAGAATAAATGAAAAAACACTAATTTATAGAAGGCAGGATCTAAATCCTAAAATACTTAGGATTTAGACGTTAGGTTTAAATACTTTGTAAAATGTTCCTCGCTTTTTGTAATGTCGTTTATATTTGTATATTAGTTAATGGCTCGGACCAATTTGTAAGCTCCGAGTCTTTGAACAATACATTAAATTGAAGGCCTGTAACGCATTCGATATAAGCATTCAGTATTACTGATCAGGAGAAGCCATTTAATCAGTAACATCCATAATTTAGGTGTTAAAAATTATTCTCCTCAATTATAAGGGCAGCATTTGCTGGCAAAAAATCCATATCCGTTACAATTTTCCAATATTTTTTGCCACGAATCTAATATTCATTTTAATGAAATACGATCTAAAACCATGACAATTAACACAAAAGTTCCCAGTGAAATAAATTTTAATCTCTCGGTTCATTGCTATTCCCAATCTTTACAGAGGTGGGAATCGATTACCACTTAACGCGCCCTTAAACGGTCCGATCAAATGGCGGAATTCGGCAGGAAGGCTTGGCAAGATCCTTGACAATTGGCGATCCGGCGAACTTTGCCCGATTGCTTGTTCATTGGATCGACATAATTGATTATAATTGAAGCTAATTGGAACAATGGCCGGGGTAAGCAATGGAATAGCCGGGGATTGACCTTTTCTTTCTTAGAAGTTCAAAGAGCAGCTCCCGAAAGTTAACTCAGGGAAGAAACTGTAATAGATAAAATATTTTCGCGCAAGTAATAGATTTTTAATGAGTTTATGTCTCCATTTCTGAAATTATCCATGTAATAGTTGTTACGATCCCTATTATCTACTTCAATCTGCCGAGGTTGCTCACTTGGTTGTAGGTGTTGTGGAAGTAAAACATGGAAGTGTATTTATTTATGAATAAATCTTGTGCGGTTAAAACTTATGCCACAAGCTCTGAGAAAGAACTTGCACACACACCTGTTCTTCAAGAATTCCTGCACGAGTAATTTTAAATCGAGGAAGCCATGATAGAAGATAGTGATGCTTGAAATTCATGTCGACTTTTTGTATTATATTACTGCATTGTGTTTACATTTTTCTATGGCAAATAATCTCAAGATGTTTCATATTCAAATTATTAAAAAAAAAGATTTAATGCCGTATGATCGAAAGACGATAGCATTCGCCAACCGAGCGTAAAATGAGACGGACTATTCATTAGGCTTCATGCTGCTCTTGAAATCTTGCTCACGGTATTAGGCAGCGCTGATTAAACGATATTTTGAGAGATGCAGTATGCTTTCCTGACATTATGCTAACATCACATGAAAATAGTTATATTAAAGGACATGTATACTATAATTCATTAGAATATTTGAGTAGTTGGTCAGGATGAAGCCTCGAAATGCAAGGTTTCGGTACAGTATTCTGGGGCACAGCTACTATTGTTTATCCGCATTTCAGGGAAAGGTTATATTGGAGCTTATTTTGATAATTTAATATGGTTTTGGTTATAAGTATGTTTTGAAAGATTAGGTCCAAGCGGATTTTCCTAATTTAACGCAATTGAAATGAAAAAAAACTTTGCTTAGTGACATTTCTAGTCAGCAGAGATTTTTTTTCAAATCTCAGCTTTTTAAAGACAGACTAAATTTGTAGAAAATATTATTGAGTACGATCAAATTTCAGCCTCCATGCATTGTATTTTCGATGATAAATATATCGAATGTAGTATCTCTACAATCCATAACATTTCAAACAAAAAAGTAATGATGAGATTAAGAATAGATATACTCGATTTTTTGCTCAATAAATTGTGTTAACTAGTCTAAGTAAAAGGATTCACGTTAAATCAACGAATCGAAATGAGCCGATTGGTGGTAAGATGGTTAAAAATGTTAGATAGTTATGATTGTTAAATGTCAGGGTAAAACACCGTAGAGTTACGACTAATTTTTGATGCCCAAGTAACACAATATGCATTATTATAAATATGAGCTCAGCTAAAATTCATATTTACAAGGGATATAAATACATAAGAATTTCAGAATATACATAGAAATATTATATTGTTTATTTTCATTAATAAAACCAAAACTGACCAATTGGGGGCACCATATATATTGTCAATTAGGCCATCTATCTTATGATATAGTAAAAAGTTATTTCTATTGCTCGTAATCATAATAATTTCATTTATGTAAGCTTTAAATTTATCGTCGTTTGTTCTCAAAAGTAAAGAGGTTTTAAAACAATCCTCTGCATCTTTTTCAATTTCTAAAATCTAAAATTTGGTGACATTAGCTAATAGAATTTCCTGGCTCTGAACTTTTACTTGATAAGAATTTGAAAAAAATCAGCGGATGTCGGTAATTCGGCTGATAAAGCATTTTAAATTCGAACTAATTTTATTCAGCAGTCATACAAAGTAATTATTTGAGAATGTTTGTCTTTGATTGGGGCATAAAAATAATACATGGATGAAGAACGCAATTACGTACGGGATTTGTACAAAATTGCCGGAAATGTAGTGGAAAACGTTAAATTATTTGAAAATGTCTTTTAATACCCAACAATACCGAAGCAACAGTCTTCAAGCACTTCCGCTCCGGGATTGTAAATCTTAGTTCCATTCCGAAGTTGTATCTATTCTCACTCAATAATTCACGTAGCATTTGCTTTAGTCTTTACTGAGACTCAAATTTATTTCCTAACTTCTACGTCGCTAACTGATCTCACTCATAAATAAGTCTGAACCAAAATGTGATTCTGTCGACAAGCTGGTATTGCTGACGAAAATATATCTTCCTTTTACCCCCAAAAAATCTACCTGGAAAATATTTCTTCCTTTTACCCCAAAAAAATCTACCTGGAACTACTTTATGAAAAGTTCGAACTTGAATACCAAAACGCCAGGTAGCGAGAGCGATGTTTCCATGCGTTTCATTCTGCATGAATACGTCCTAGCACGAGAGTGCTGTGACAAAGGGCTATTTGATACGGCAAACTAAAAAAGTAAAAAGTCTCAAACGTTGGCAACATGAACAAATTTTTACGACATTTTATACCGCTTCCAAAAGTGCAAACGTTTGACCTATTTTTCTGCCGAACAAATTACAAGGAATATATTTTGTATATTCTGGCAACTTTCGACATCATTTAGGGCTGGAAATAGGCAACAAACGTTACTATATCCTATAATTAATAAAATTATGTGTAAATAGCATTAGTATAAAAGGTACTCTTTTTTCATTTTCAGGGAAATATTATATTAATCTTTATAATTTAATGAATATTACTGAATATTATTTTTTCGTGACTTTCTTGCGAAAGCATTTTAATATCGAAAATTCGTGCAAGTAGCAAATGGGTTTGAGGTATGCAGAAACAGAGACTTTTCCACGATGAATTAAAAACACCAATAAAAGTTCCTTTATTGATCAAAACAAGTTTATTTAAACATTTATTTATTTATTCATTAACAATTAATTTTCATATGCTCTAATTGGAAACAAGGAACGCTGTTTGATTTAAAAATGGCCCATCAAGCAAGAATCTCTCGTTCAAAACCTGCATATTTGTCAACATTTACTAATTGCTGAAAAAAATAATAGTCTAAATCTCAATTAAATCAAATTAGACTGAATTCTTGCCATTTTTTGTTGTGTTTTTTTCTTGCTTTAATAATTCAAATTCATAACCTTGTTCTCGCATGCAGGAAAAATGTAAAACCAGATGTGCCATTCAATGTTAAAACTAGCTTAACTCCTGATTACGGGAAAATAATGATGATATTTTATACAAATCTCTCCAGAAATATTATACAACAACAAGGATCACGATGACTAATCAAATTTATAATGTTTCAACTTCTCCATGAAACCTTCAGGACAATGTTCACAGGTGCGCATAACCTAAACAATGTTATTTTTCGGTAAATTCAGATAGGCTTGCAGAGATCCTTGGCGGTCTGCATAATGCGCTGGGATTTCCCGTCAGGAATTTTACTGCCAATAAGTCATTGGAGTCGCTGGATTATGGAGATCAGAATTATTCATGTCGAATGCTGAACTCGAACAGCTCCTTTTAATCCACTGGAAATAGCGGCGCGTAGTCTGGTTTGAGTATCAATTGTTAAAATACATTGATTAAAATCCTTAAAAATAAAGAACATCTTCTCATAAATAATATTTCAATTGGGAATCTAATAATTGAATGTAATTATCATTATGAGTTTAGATAGCTATTTTAATGATGCCACAAAAATTATTCAAATATTTAATTACCTCTTCTAATAAGGCAATATAATTGCACGACTGAAACAAAATTTCGTCGATCATTGGTAATTATTCACTGTAGCGCCGAGCTAAACAAATTGATCATCCTATTTGCACGCATTTATTGTCAGAAATTTGCTAGTTGTATTCAACCTAATTAGATATATTCGTAATTTCTATTTCATCCAAAAATTTCACTATATAACAGTAGCAGATTTAATGCAATGGAGAAATAATTAATTTAGAAGAATAGAACAGTGAAACAAAATTTTGCGAATTCATTTTCATGACTTGTTTATTGGATTGGTAGTATATCTTGGATTGAAGGTGCTGGTGAACATTTAATATATACAAGTTTACTTTTGGATGTTGAAGAGAACAAAATGACGCCTCACCGTCGAAGGCCCGACGTGCTCATAGTAAACAGATATAAATAATAACACGAAGTAGAGGAATCTTATATATAAGTCTACGGTTTTCACAATCATGATTTTATTTACATAAACTTGCAACACCGTCTCAAATTTCGCAGTGAATTGCGCTCCAAAAATGTTTCCAACAATGCCCAGAAAATATTCTGCTCGTTTAAGTTTCGGCAATAAATATCGAATTCGATAGCTTAGCTCCGGTGTTCATGGAAACTTTTCGCATCAGGTTATAAATGGAATTAGGTGAAGTAGTAGCATAGGATCTGGATCGTTATTACTTTCACGGCTTATTTTCTTTCGAACAGCGTGGAAAAAGTAACTCAAAAAGCTTTATCAATAATTTGGAAACCTCGTCTAAAATAATGGATCCAGGTAATTTGATTGGTGAGATCTGACGTGGTTTAAAAGGGATTCAAAATATTCATGTTTGATTATATAACGGAGGCATTTGCGTTGAAAATGACGCCTGAATCTAATTTAACTCCATCATCGTAAAGATATTTCATATCTTCTGGCCAAAAAAATAGGACTTTTATAGATAAAACATGTTTTATTTTTAGAAAAAACGTCAAGAAATATTTTCTTTGTAATTCACGTTGACAGACAAAGAAAATTTCGAGCCATATAATCAAATTATTAATTCGAATGGCACCAACTTAATCTATTTCTTGACAATTTATTATTTATCGTTAAAGAAGTCTTCCTCACGCTTCTAATCAATTCCTTGAATCTAAAATTCATTCGTGGTTACTTCTAAACAATGACTGACGGATAATTCTTTTCAGACATATAAACCGCAAACGGCTTCAAGTACTTGTTAAATTAGCGTCATTTGAGCACTGTTTCATCTTTGTATTCAAGTATATCTAAATTCATATCAAATTTTTAAAATATGTAATAAATTTGCTTCAAATGCATTAACGTTCATTTTAGTCATGTATTAAAAGCAATTTTTATCACGAGTTTTACGTACCAAAACAGGAAGGTTTGGTTACGATTCATCCACTACAATCAAATATAGGTACATATAATTGAGTATATCCTTAATCTTAGAAAGACATTTTGAAAGGGAAAGTATCCAAACAAACTGTACATTATGGAATCACAATGAATTTTAACTTTGATTTTTTCCAGCCCTTAAAATCATCTCGCGATGGCGGATGAGTTCACGAGGGCATTTAGATGTGCCCCTGGCTGGGCCTTCTGAGCAGTAGAGTGCGAGGCATCGCTGGAGATAAGGGACGCTACTGATAAGATAAGCGACATCAGGAGCAGATACCACGTGTCGAGGAAGCGAGTCTTTGAGTTGCGCTGCATCGCTGCCGGGTGCTCGCCTAGAATTTATTTACACCAAAAAAATTAGTTTTTTATTTGCCAGATCTTTTTCATCAAAAAGTTCATAGGCCATGTAAGTAAAATTTAACTGTATGTTTTACTCATAGTTGGCTAAAATGTATTATTATTATTTATGTTTGCCTAAATTTGTTAGTGATTTTGGAGTGATTTCTTGACGTTGAAAAACTTTTCCAAGAAAACTACACTTGATTAACATAGTTGTAAACTGACATTGTTTCATTTTCAATTCAAATCTTTTTTGTAACAGTCAAGTTAAATAATCTCCAGGCATTCTATATTAAAATTTCCGGCAAAAACATAAATAAAAATTTTTATAACATGATATAAAATCAATAATATGACAATGTATAAACTGACTGACCACTGAGATAAAAATAATGATTGATATACTAAAATAAAATATCAGTAACAATTAGAATGATAATATTTTCATAAAATTGGCACGCGGCATGAAGAAGCTGAATAACAAATGAGATATCTATAATTTTTATAATGATTAAAAATATTACTATTACAATACATTCAATGAAATTAGTACGCAACAATAAGAACCTGACAGACCATTGAGGTATCAATAATAATTAAAATGATAAAATATCAATAACAATTATTTCGATAATAATTCCAATGAAATTAGTTCGCAACAGTAAAAAGCTGACTGACCATCAAGGTATCATTAATAATTGATATGGTAAAATATCAATAATAACTACTATGATAATATTTTCTATGAAATTATAACGCAACATTTAGGAGCTGACTCACCATTGAGGTATCAATAAAAATTAATATGATAAAATACCTATAATAATTACTATCATAGTATATACTATGAAAGTAGTACGTACCAATAAGAAGCTGACTGACCATTGAGATATCAATAAAAATTAATATGATAAAATATCAGTAACAATTACTTCGAAAATATTTTCAATTAAATTAGTACGCAACATTAAGAAGCTGACTGACCATTGAGAATGTGCACCAGGACGCCCCCAGTAGCCACGTCGCCGAGGGAGCACGTGTAGTTGCCCGAGTCTCTAGGAGTAGCGTTCGCGATGTACAGCGTCGACACTATCACCGAGCTACTCATGTCGGTCTTTACGCTGAAAAGAACAAATTAAACGATGTATTTGAGACCAGGAACAAGCTTAACGTGACACTGAAGTCTAAAATTCAAAGTTGAAAAATATTTTATTGCACTTGTAGCTGCTTATTTTTTTCGAGGCTAAATTACTGTTTTATAATTATCTTTGGTGGCACTTGGAAAATTTTAATAAGCAAAGCCGTTTTCTCGCTTCGATCTCAAAGAAAAACATTTCTCAGACCTGTTTATGAAAGTTTAATTAGCATCGGGTAATAATAGTTGGTTACTAACTTTACCGTAAGTTGTATGATCCCTAATATTAGTTAATATTTTCATAAGAAGCTGACTGACCATTGAGAATGTGCACCAGGACGCCCCCAGTAGCCACGTCGCCGAGGGAGCACGTGTAGTTGCCCGAGTCTCTAGGAGTAGCGTTCGCGATGTACAGCGTCGACACGATCACCGAGCTGCTCATGTCGGTCTTCACGCTGAAAATAACAAATTAAACGATGTATTTGAGACCAGGAACAAGCTTAACGTGACACTGAAGTCTAAAATTCAAAGTTGAAAAATATTTTATTGCACTTGTAGCTGCTTATTTTTTTCGAGGCTAAATTACTGTTTTATAATTATCTTTGGTGGCACTTGGAAAATTTTAATAAGCAAAGCCGTTTTCTCGCTTCGATCTCAAAGAAAAACATTTCTCAGACCTGTTTATGAAAGTTTAATTAGCATCGGGTAATAATAGTTGGTTACTAACTTTACCGTAAGTTGTATGATCCCTAATATTAGTTAATATTTTCCTAATACCTATGCGATTCTCTGAACAAACCGTTTATTTAAAGATTCAGGCATGATCCAAATTTCCAAGAAACTTGTGTCGAAGTCAGCTTTTAACGTGGTTAAGTTAGAACGATTCCAATTCGATTGACATCGAGCATGTTGACTCGATTAATACGTTCGTTAATTACGGGTTAAATAATTATTAACTTAAACTTTTACGAAAGCGAGAGCAAAAATCATTTTGGCTAAAAATTGATAAGTAAGACATGAAATTCCTTGACCTTGATAATGAAAAATAATGAATTATTCAGTTGAATTAAAACATCCTCAAAATTGATAACAATCGGTCTCTGTTACATACATTTTAAAAAAATACTGTGGGGCTAAATCCAGTTGAACTCATCGTGAAGCCTTAAACAAAATATCGGACGTCTGTTCTAATTCAAAACCTGATAAAGAAATTTCGCTCTTCAGTTAGAGACATACTCGTAAATCTGGAGGAGTGGACGCGTTTCAGTTGGCTGAATGCCGGAGTAGGACGCTGTCAGAATTCCTAATCAGATTTTAAAAATATGCTGGCGAGCAGCCCAAAAGTCGTTTTCCGTTATGACTGTCACGTTCAAGATCCCGAAACTTGTGAAGTGATTTGTAACGAGATAGTTTCTTCCAAGTAGGATGAGACGAGATTCGAGTTGAAAGTGGTCTCATTTATACACGAAAGTTCATTCTGGATTGAAAGTTTGTACATTTCTTTGTTTGCATGCGTAATATTGACTGTTTCATTTCGACCGGTGTATGCAAAGGAACTAAAAGTAGGAATTACTTGAATAATTTTAGTTATTTCTCACACACACATACACAAAGCTCTCAGGTGAATCTATTCAATCTTTAATTGTTTCCAATTTGATAAACAGATTCCACCTCTGGACTTGCAAGATTAAAATTATGCATGTGGCCCATATATATCATCATAAAAGATCATTTCCTACCGTTCCAACATGAAATCTACGAGACATCAAGCAGTTGGATATTACGTGAATAATTCTATGTTAATTAACATCATCTTTACATGATAAATGTTGGGCAATCATTGTTTTCACCATGAAGTGTTTCACGTGTCGTAGTTGAGCATCACAACACTAACACGACGTGTCGTAGTTAAGCATCTCAACACTAACTCTTGACGTGCTGTATGCTCACCTGATGCCACCACGAGACGTGTCGTAGTTAAGCATCTCAACACTAACTCTTGACGTGTTATATGCTCCCCTGATGCCACCACGAGACGTGTCGTAGTTAAGCATCTCAACACTAACTCTTGACGTGCTGTATGCTCACCTGATGCCACCACGAGACGTGTCGTAGTTAAGCATGTGGTCGCCATGACGCCACAAGATGAAGGTTTGTGCTTGTGGCATTTGGCTGATGGTGCAGCGCAGCTCGATGGTGCTTCCGGTCTTGTAGAATTTCTCCCCCACGTTTGCCCCTCGTTCATCTATGATCTCCACCACGGGGGCTAGTGAAAATAAAAATAAAAAAGTTTTTTACTTCCGAGTATCTTATGTTACGGTCGCAAAAAAATATATATGGTTACATTTTGCGGCATCAAATAGACTTTGATTCAAAATGGAAGGTAACATTTATTCATTTTACTGCGTTCAAAATTGAAAATTGAAAACATTATGATGGTGAAGCTGCTAGATTTTTCGTAATTTACGTTTTTTAGGAACATAGAGTAAGCGTATCAAGAATAATTTCAAAAACCATCTCACAATTTTCACTGAAAATATAATGATGGTGAAGATGTTAGATTTTTCGTGATTTACATTTTTTTATGAACATAGAGTATAATCAAGAATAATTTCAATAAACATCTCCCAATTTTCACACGCACCCACAATCCTGAGGTTGGCCACGAGTACTCGGGGCGGGTGAGTGGACACCTGGCACTCGTACGTGCCTTCATCTCGACGCTGCGTGTACTTTATTTGCAGCTTCCAGTTATCCGGGTTCTCAAAATTTAATGAGTATCTGAAAAAAAATAGTATTTCGGGTTTTTAAAATTTAGAAAGTAAGTAAAAAATGTGAAAATAGGTTTCCAGGTTCTCGAAATTTAGTGAGTATCTATAAAAATATTTGATATATCCATTGATGAATGCTGAGAATATTAGCCATGGTTCCTGCTGGTTCAAATTACACTATGAAAACAAATGACAACAAACGCGAACTAAGATTTGTTTCGTTCGATTGTTTTACATTAAATTAACCTGCTGAGTCCATGTGTTGGGTAGAGTATTTTGAAATGTTTTTTTTATGATCGTCAATAAGAGAACAACAAGTTTGATGAACAGAATTGCGCTTCCTTGTTATACATTTTCATTCGAATTTTTTTTGGATTTCTTCTCGTGCTTCCACAATAACAATGTATTGCTACAAAAAGTATTTAAAATCATTCTATCGGGAAAGCTGGTACATTCAGACGAATCTCCTTGCCATGGAGTTTTGAATAACTAAAAAATATTTGGAAGTTTGTTCATCTGTAGTTCTATTACATGTCTTCCGGGCTGCCGGAAGCAAAATTCTGAACCGTTGCTGTATAGAAAATACGAACGCTGTCAGTTGTACACGAGATAAATAACTTACATATGCTTGACACGTAATAAACTCACAACGAGACGCTCTAACTCCCCTTACGAATTTAAAGCCTATATTTACCAAAAAGCCCGGCAATTAAATGTGTGGCAGTGAATGAAAAAATTCATCACCTACTATTTTAACTGCAAAACAAATCAGAAACAAAAGGCAACTCAAACTAATTTCTGAATGAATTAATAGTCTGTGGCCATTCAAAGCATTATGACAGAATTTACAAATAAATTAGTCGACCAGCTGACGTTCATTAACTTGAACGGTTAGAGACTTCAAGATAATAGATCAAGTCCAAATAAATGGACAATCGAATAAAAGCATTAAATTTCATTACAGAAACGGATAAACTTCTTCAATAATTTGTAAGATGATTTGTCCAAGAAGTTTTAAATGCATTCTGAAAGTTATCTGAACATTCACAGATAAACTATGCCTGACACACAGAGCCCTAATTTAAAATTTAAGCAGGATTCAATGAACCCAGCTTAGCTAGACAAAAGCAATGCCTGTTTATTCTTATTCTGCCGCCATGAAACGCCTCACACTCACGGCTTCGAATAAATAATTTACAAGTATTGCGTGACATTAAAAATTCCCGCAGAATATCCAGACAGAATTCGCACAGAAGAATACCCACAAAAAGATATCCAGAAATAATATACATAGAAGGATATGCATACAGACAAAGACATGCCCAAAAATAGAACATAAATCAAACCTCTCATCGTTGCCGAAAGTCTGGAGACCCCAAGTGAGAAGGCGAATTTCATCGCCTTTGCGCTTAACCCAAGAGACCTGCAGGAAAATAGATAGTTCATTAGGTATCAATAGGTAGTTCGTTAATAATCATTATATAACAATCGATAGTTCGTTATATGATAATGAATAGTTAATTACATAACAATAACTAGTTCCTTATCAGGTCGTGTTTGATGAGCAAATAGAGGGAGAGAGCCAGTTCTAAGACGTCATAAGAAGTTCCATTGCGAAAGAGAGATAATTTAATAAAATGAATAGCCTTATTCAAAAAAAATTATCAGAATCTAAAATAATTGTTACTTGTTTTGAATCTCTTTCAATAAATATAATTTCTATCAGAAATGTCGAAAGTTACCAATGATTTTTTTTTTGTGAAAAAGTGCGAGACTTTTCTATGCTAAATGGAAGGTCATTCATTTTGACCTCACATTCAAGCTTGACGTGTCTCTCTCTGGGCAGATACTTTCAAAACATTGCTAAGTGCTCGTAGCGGCTTAAGTGCAGCGTAAGTCCGCTAAGTGCATTAGGTATCAATTGATAGTTCGTTAATAATCATTATATAACAATCGATAGCTCGTTATATGATAATAAATAGTAATTATAAACATTACATTACACATTACGTTACATTACATACAGTACATACATTACATACATTACATACATATTCCGTATCAAGTCGTGTTTGATAAGCAAATAGAAGGGAGAGAGCATGTTCTACGAAATCATTCCTTTTCGAAAGAGAGATAGTTTAATCAAATGAGTAGCGTCAAATCGAAAAAAATCTTATAAGAATGTAAAATAATTATTCCTTGTTGAGAATCTCTTTTACGTAATATAATTCCCATCAGAAATGTTGAAAGTTACCAATGATATTTTTTTGTGAACAAGTGCGAAACTTTTCTATGCTAAATAGAAGGTCATTCATTGTGACCTCACATTCAAACTCAACGTGTCTCTGAAGGTTTCAGGCTCTCATTGGAGCATTAAATTTTCATTCGTTTCATGAGTACGTAATTTCTGTGGAATGAAAGAGTTGAACAACTGCGATGTTGTACGTACAAACTCGAGAAAAATACAACGCCTAACTCATATTGAGGTCATAACGTCTCACTAAATGGGTCCCTAAGTATGACCTTAGCTTTTATTACGACACCTCAGAGCGTCGAGAGAGGCTTTGAACCACACACGACCTTTTACAAATGTTTAGAGACTTTGGCGAACTGAAATGGATGGCCGCAAGCCAGCTCTGGCTGCCAGCCCTCTTGCTTGGTCATGAATATCACGATTTTTATGAAGACTAGATGCTAAATGATGAGGATAAAAGATTCATGAGGGTTTTAGTTGCACGAAAATGTAGGAAGATAAAAGGCTTTTACTCTCTGTAAGTCTGTAGAAGAGTGGGGTAATTTACTACCACAGCCGTTTTTTATCGATAAATCTCGATCATTTCTAAAATTTTCTCTTGTTCTTGTAAAGTGAGAATCGTTAAGATTTAGATTAGAACTGATTATATTATTCGTCATAACAAATTTTCGTTACATTTCAAATTATTCTCTGTAATCTAAATTAAATTTTTTTGAAAAAAACGCACATATAATAAATATTATAGAAAACATCTATTTATGATTTGCAAAAATATCATATCTATACTGCATAACACATTTTATCATCTCTACCGATTTTGAGAAAAATTAATACAGTAAAACATGTGCCTTCATCACGTGGACACCAAGCTGACACGTCCAGAATATGACCGGCGTCCAAAAATGACGTCGATGTATCAAGATTACGTCGGTTTAATAATAAGCACCTCCTTGAGACTTATGGTGACACCCGTTCCCTACATGCACTTTGTCGAATTTGTTACAGACGTGGTATAGCTCCCTATTTAGACTAGCAATCTAATGATGTAAAAGCTTCCACAGTATGTATGATGCCGGAGTAATTTTGTCGCTTGTTGGGTGTGAAATAAAGATGGTAAAACGACGGCCTCTTTGTTTGGTCGTTCCTTGTAGAGTATCTTAGCATTTGCTTCTTTGCACGAATAAAATTTCGCAAGTGCACAGGTATCAAATCACGGAAAAGAACAATATTCAAATTTTCTAAGTTAAACTATTTTGTTGTGAAAAATCCAATGTATCATGCTTTTTCACTATTATTAAAATTCCGAACATAACATTCCCCAGCTAATTTAGAGGCGCTGCCAAAACTTTGCACGTTATTCCAACTGCAACACAAAAATTAAATAGAACATTTTCGTCGATACAGGTAAGCCTTTTGGCATCTGCATTCAAGGAATTCTTGCCCCGATATATTAGCTGTGGAATGCAGCTCTACTTCTTTATTGAAGCCGCACCAATAATGTCCTAAAATATCTTGTAAGGGACGAGCGATTACGCCGCTACTGCGTCTGCCGGGATTTTTTTACCACAGAGAAAATATTTACTCGAGATCCTGATATAATATAAAATTTTAGAATTTTGTTGAATTACTTTTAATTCTACGAATTCCATCTTTCTAAAGCTTAACAATATTAACGCTAGTTTTGTTTTGCATTTCATGGCAAAAGTTCATAAAGTCTAGTAAGTTCATATTAGACTCGAAATTTAGCATAATATGTTACTACTAATACATTACTGTGACTATAATTAACAAAACAAAAGAATCAATTTCTGTTGTTTGGCATTATTGAATGGTTTCTCGTATTACCGTTTTAAGTAAGTTTATATTAGACTCGGAATTTTGCATAATATATTACTACTAAATTATTATGACTATAATTAACAAAACAAAAGAATTACTACTAAATTATTATGATTATATTTTGCAAAACAAAGGAATCAATTTCTGTTGTTATGGCATTATTTAGTGGTTTCTCGTGTTACCGTTTTAGTGTACGGTGTGAAACATCGTTTGTTACAGAACAAGATATTGTGTACGGTGTGAAACATCGTTTGTTACACAACAAGATATTGTGTACGGTGTGAAACATCGTTTGTTGCAGAACAAGATATAGTGTACGGTGTGAAACATCGTTTGTTACAGAATAAGATATAGTGTACGGTGTGAAACATCGTTTGTTACAAAACAAGATATTGTGTACGGTGTGAAGGATATATGCGTTTGTTACAGAACAAGATGATTGTTTTCTTTCGTAACTGCATATTTATATATTGTTAGATAATATCGCATGATATTAAATCGAACTGATATCCACTATATAAGCTTCAGCTATTCAAGCTTTGGTTTCAAGTGATGATTACTGTATATAAGAATCCATTTGAATTTGACTCAGAAGGAATCAATATTGTATGTTTTTCATAATTGTAGCTCTTTAAGTATGTATAGGGAAAGTCTCATGGGATTACAGTACACTGGGATTTGCCTTTCAAGCTGAATGTTCGCTAGCAAAGCTCCCACCTTTGATCCGGGCTCCCGTTTCGAGACCACATTGACTGGAACCCGGAACCTCGCGAAGGAGATGAATCGGATGAGCCTTTGGCACTCAAGGAAGGGTCAGAGGAACCCTTGGGTTCCATGGAAGGGTCGAAGTCTGGAGGGTCTTGAGAAGTGCTAGGGTCTGCCATGAAGGGCGGGTACTCTGGGATGACGAACCCTGCCGTCTCCTCAGGCATGGCATCGTCCGCTACCACAACGAAGTCTGTAGGAAGAATTATAACAGTTTTATTATTTTAATTATTTTTAGAAATTATCAATTGTTTTAAAATTATGACCATTGCTTCAATAATTATCAAATAACATTAAGTTTTTTTCATTTTTTATTACAGGACATGTAAATAAGAGAATTAATAGTGATGAAAAATTTTATCATTCATATTTCGGGCTCAATATTTTATTTCGAATTTGTCTTCTTTAAAAACGAAGGATCTTTGTTTCAACAAATTATAAGATGAAATTTTCACAATCAAAACAAATTATTACAAATTATAAGTGTGTGCGATCAATCCAACAAAATTCACTATGTTTCATGATATATTCAATCTTTTCCCTTTAAATTTTTTATATAATATATCTCCAATAAATAAAATGACAGAATCACCTGAATCCTGAATTTCCTGGGCGCTGATTACAATTGCAGAGCAGAACAGAACTGCGAGCGAAAGATGATATTGCCGCGCACACATCGCTGGTCATGCCTTTGTTCTGGAATTAATAATAAAGACCTAATATTAATATCATTGATATTATATTAATAAACTTGATATTATATTCATAAACATGTGAAACCTATTTAATTAATTTTCTGTACCCACTGTTACCGGTTCTCAGGTTTGCGCTAGAAAAGAATTCTTTTCAGTAGCTTCGAAACCTTCACGACATCAATACATAGAATTTTTCACGCATTAAGAGGAAGTGAATATCATATACATTAACACCGCTACTAAAATTCTTCTTTATTCTTTATTCTACATTCACGCAGGAGAATACAAAAAAATTCATAACAAGAAAATATCAAAAATTTTGAGAAAAACATACAAAATGCTTCCATTTGAATGCCCATATAAGCTAAAAAGCTTCACGGACGACATTAGTGGTATTACAATCGAAGAACAATAACATATAATGACGATGGCATAAAGCAATGGGGAACAGAAAGTGACCAAATTGAAAACATCCTGATAAAAACTAACCTTTATTAAAACTGATATAAGAATAACTAAAAATGAACATAACAAAGGCAGTAACAACCCTACCTAGAAATTAAATACAACTAAGACGAAAAGTCGTAACAATGTTGACTTCCACCATATAATTTTTCAAAAATATTACTGAGAAAAGGCAATTACCAAAATCTTACATACTAATCGGAGTCAAATTAATAACGAGTAACAATAAAATCGCGGAATTTAGTCTTTAAACTAAATTTAGAACAATCTATTTTAAAATCATCAGGCAATTCATTAAAATATTTCACACAATTAAAAACGTTTCTTTCAATTTCTAACCGAACCGGGGGTAAGTTTATGGCAATCAAAGTTCATTTGATTGGCATAAAAACAGTTTCAACAGGTAATCCTACTTTACTGGCAAATCACCTGAATCCTGAATTTCCTGGGCGCTGATTACAATTGCAGAGCAGAGCAGCACTGCGAGTGAAAGATGATATTGCCGCCCACACATCGCTGGTCATGCCTTTGGTCTGGAATTAATAACAAAGACTTGATATTAATATCGTTGATAATATATTAATAAACTTGACATTATATTAATAAACATGTGAAACCTATTTAATTAATTTTCTGCACTCACTGTTACCGGTTCTCTGGTTTGCGCTAAAAGAGAATTCTTTTCAGTAACTTCGAAACCTTCACGATATCAATAAATAGAATTTTTCACGCATTAAAAGGAAGTGAATATCATATTCATTAACACCGCTACTAAAAGTTCGTTTGATTGGCATAAAAACAGTTTCAACAGGTAATCCTACTTTACTGGCTGATTTTGTAAGTAGCCGAATAAATTGCTTTTAATGTTTAATTTCTAGCATTCAGAGTCGATTTCTGTATCTGCGGTGAAAATATATATCGTTTTCTGGTATTATTTGATTTTGTAATTTGAGTTTATCAATAGTCTTCAAGCAGGAGCTGGTCAAAGACTTTTGTGATTCAGGAATCAGTTTATTCTTTTTAAAAATTAAATATTAAATTTTAGTTCATGTTCCTAGGCAGACAATCAAATTGGTTATTCGAATGATTTGTTTATGTAAATTAACATATATACATATATATGATATACACCGATTTTACTTTTTAATTAGTGTATTCTAGGTGGTCAAGAATTTTAATTTTTGCACATGATAAAGAATCAGTAAAGTCACTCAAATTAAATGAATTTGCAGATTGAGGGAAAATTTTAAAATTATAAGAAAATTTATGTTGAATCGTAGTCAAAATTTTCAGCTGCTTCCTGGGCTGAGTTTAACACTGTGAAGTTTTCCATATTTCACTTCATACCCCAACCATTCCCCCTGTTTTTGGGTTTTTCGAGATCTGACAGTGAAGTGGCAACTGGCAAGTTACGTGCAGTGAACGGCTACTGCCCGTCAAATCATCTCTACTGAAGCAGCCTCTCGGCTGTCGTTGCATTGCAAGTTTATTCCATCACCAACGCTAAGTTAGAGCCACCCAAGAGTCAGAGCAGCTCGTCGGCTTCGCCACCTCGTGGTCATCTCGCTACAATATTGCCTTAATACATCGAGGCAATTTGCTTCTTCTGCCGTTCCTTTTGAAGCAACACCGGGCTCTGGCATCAACGCCAGCTCTTGTCTTGCTGCTAGAAAATGTCTTCGCAGCAATGGGAAGATTTCCTTGGATGCAGTGTGTAGATTCCGACACGCTTCCAACGACCGTCCTATATTTAATCAAAGGGAGTTTATTCGGCTGCTACTGGATTCCTTTGAAGCAAAGTTTGTTCCCTTGAGGCAATATTGAGATCGCTGTAGAAAAGAGGGATCTGAAGTCTTGGTTATGAACGGTTGTGCTAAATCATATTCTGAAACTAACGCTTGAAATATTAGAAGGAAACGAATCCATGTTACGCTTTTATGGATATTAGTTTGTTTTTAGTAAGTGAACAAGACTAGAAATTATTGAAGGAAAAAACTTTCTTCTCTCTTCAAGTTGCAAGTATTAATTAAACCAAACAGGCATTGATTGAAGCTTTTATATAAAAACAAACCTTATAATTTGTGATTAGTTTGTGAAAAACTTATTTGTGAAAGTTTTAGTCAGAAATATCTTAGAAAAGGAAAATACAGGAGTACATGCGAACATAATGAATCTAAAATTTGGCGCCGTATTAAATACAAATCAGCATAACTTATCTTGCTACCGTCGGCTAGAGGAAGGTTGTGAAGTGTTATAAACTGTGTTTCATTTTGAGAATTTCTCAATGCATTCGTGGGCTGAAACAACGTGTCGCAAAATTAATATAATAAACAGAACCCTTGTGAATAACGAATAAATTTATTTGGGTGTTCGAATGAAACGAAGCCTGAGGAAGTTTAGCATGTAATTGTTAATTTGGCTGCGTGCTAATTAACATCCCAAAGTGGAGCCGGGCCTGAGAAGTCTGACGAATACATTTTTTATGTCTTCTGTGGAACGACAATTCTATTCATTAATGTCCTCTGTAGTTTAATTAGCTGGAGTCATAATTGAATAATTTAGTTCTCGGCTCAGTGATACATGACAAGTATTCAAAATGTCAAATATCAATGCTCTCTGACAACAGGCCATGGGCCTATTTCTTCAACGCCGACACTTCTATTCTATTCTAATTCTAGAATAAAAGTATAAAAAATGAGGTTGCATGTTGTTCAGTAAGTTATTTGATTTCTCAAACGTACAAATATTAATATGAGCAATTACCAAATTGTAAACAATGTTTACGTATCAACTGTCCACAATTCTGTCTCATATTGTAAGAAGGAAAGGAGAAAAAATATTACAAAGAAAAATTAAATATTGCGTCATGAATTTAAAAGCAAAGAAAAAGGCCTAAGTTTTCTCTGATAAAAAAAGAATAATTTTTAGCGGTTTTCTTTACTTAATTCTTGATAAACTTGCGATTTAATCAATCAAGCGATCTTGATAAATATTGCATGTTCTGTTACATATGCAGCAATATTTTACAATTTATACTCGTTAATAAAAGAAGATATAATTTTGAATGAAAGAGAGAAAATGATGTTTGGGAGTCGAAAACGTGTACGATGTAGTTCGAAGATTTTACTGTATATTTTTGGAATAATGACGAGCTGCTATTAACAATTTATTTTTATCTTGCACGGTCTAAATAAGTTTCGCTGATAACTCCTAATATATTTTTATTATTATAATGCAAGATGTTTAATGAATCGAAGTTATTTGCTTCCAGGTATCGAAAATTTTTGTCGCGAAACAGCTAGAGTATAAATGAAAATATTATTTAATTTACATTATCTGCCGTTAATCTGATTTTTAAATCGATTAACAAATTTTATGCCTTTTTATACAATCAAATACTTTTTCACGTGGGTTCCTCACTGAATCCGATATTAGTCATTATAATCCTACCTCAAGTGCATACTATACTCGCCACTCGTATGCAATCGAGCGCTAGCTCGATTGCATACGAGCGAACTCTACGAGCTATACGAGAGAACTTATACGAGCTATATGTTTATAGCGAACTCTACATTTGGTATGCAAGGCACGAAACTATTATGTCATGCGCGGCTGATTTGCTTATTCTGGCATGAAAATCTGCAGCATGAGCGTCGAAGCGAGACTCGGAGAACAGGACTTAGTGCGTTCCCAAGTGGCCTGGAGCCATACTTTCAAAATTCGCCTAGTGAACGTAAGTACTTACGCTCTATTTTCTTGTCTATGATTGGTGGATTTTGCTTAAAAGTCCGTCAATGATTGGCTGATGAACTTACGATCTCTTAACGTTTTTTGAAAGTATGGGCCCTGTACTGGACTCAGCACTGGCAAACCCTGCCCAACTTCCTCCAGTCGCTCGACCAAAACAAGGGCAGCTAAAGCCACTCAGTGAGCGCGGTGTCGTGTATGAACTCGACTCTCAGGGTTAGTGATCCAGGTCAATCTATTTTATCGATTAAAATGCTGACACAACAAGCGGAACAATTTATGAAATATTTTGTCTTTTTCTGCTTTCTTTTAATAAAATACATTAATTCCAGAATTAAACAGATGAACTGCAATTATTTTATAATGTCCAAACAGAAAATCAATAACGATAATATACTCGTAGGCATAAAAATAAATTAACCTGATAACGAAGATGGAAAATTACGTAAATACTAGTTGGAAGGCGCGGATGCATTGTTATAGTCACGGCTGTACTGGATCCCCTCTCCCGTCCGCATCCTTGTTGAAATCAATACGGGCGCAGGAGGGCTGTTCATGAGTCGCATTTGTGGTGTCGTCATGATTTGCTGTCTCAAAAAATTATTCAGCAGTCAATAGAAAATAAGTTCTATGAAGAACTCCTGCTGCTGTAACTCAAACAAGTAACAACTGAACATGTTTAGTACTTGTGAAGCACAGTATGTGGAATATTGGATGCTCACTACCACTTACTGATAAGGGTAACTGAAAACATTAATATGCTTTATAGGATAAAATGTTCTTGCATAAATTATGCTGAGGTAGCCGGTGAATGATAGAAATTGTCAATTTGTCCAAATTTTCACTAGATTTAGGATAGAGATGTAGGCAAAGATCCAATTTGCAATTATTTTGGATATTCCATGTTTGTATCGATTCGCTATAATTATTATGAAACATCAAAAGTACATTCTGCATTAATGATGGATTGGTGTAGCTTTCATTGTAAGACGAGGCTGGTAGCAAGTTCCATGCAGATTCTAGTTCATTGACCCGCTCTAAGGTCCGGATCTAAATATCGTCAGTCGCGTTTCCTGAGGCAAAAGAAGTGAAAAATAAGAAGAAAAGATGCTCACCGTGTCTATCCTGGTTGAGGTAACGTGTCTATTCTGGCTCAGACATAATAGTAGCTAACTTGGCTGGCTTTTGTATCCGTGCAAATTAACAAGGAACCCGGCGGCAATCTATAGTACTCCCATTGTTTGCATTTGTTTATAGCTGCCTTCGATCTTTTACGACGATGAAAACTACAGTAGGATATTTCAGATGTTTCCCAGTACCGGAATTTAGGCCAATTCTTTGCTTCTGTACTTGCAATACACGCGAATCGTCATGTATGTAGAGGAAAAATTCCAATCCCCACCCGAAATCTAAAGTTGAAATGGGCTTGAATAAACGATGTTTCCATGAAATAGACTCGAAATTAACGTTATTTTAACGTATTTTCTGAAGGTTGACATTTAATTTGTTGAGATATCACATTTTTTGGTACGTTATCAAAGCGTCATTATGTTGTTATGGAGTGAACTGATTCTGTATTTATTTAATTTTGCGTTAGAGCGAGTTTGACGTGACCTTAGTCAAATTATGAATGATGGCTTAATATTATACACACCCTGGATGTGTAACGAATGTCCTTTGTGTGAATATGTTAGGTCATAAATTAGCTACTAAATTTTTATGCAAGTATACTGTGTATGTAAATATTCAAGAAGCATTTTAAAAGCTTTATTTTAAATTTTCTGAT